CTGCAGGAGGTGTGGCAACACAGGACACAACAAGCGTACATGCAAGAAAGATACAGTAGAGATAGGCAATTAATTTAAGCTATTGCGCACTATTATATCTTGTTGTTGTGTTGAGTTATTCACGTTCAAAGATATATTGTTGCATTTAGTGATTCGCTTGGTGGGGTGATTCGCTCGGTGGTGGACCACGTTACACTAGCTTTTATTTAAGAAACTAAAGTAGGCACACGCAAGTAGTACCTACAGCAAACAACAGACAACTAATTTCCTTTGTTTAAAACTTGAGCACAGGCTCTTACTATATGTCTACAAACCTATATATACTATTCCCTTACACAGAAGAAACTTGTAAATTACTAGAGCAGCCTTACTGCTCTCGTCCTATATAGTCTTAGACTCACACAGGACGTTAAACTAATCAATCAATCAATCAATTAACTAGGTCTAAGAGCAAAGAAAACTAAAGCGCACTACATCTACAGTATTCCCAGACATTAAAGGTGCCTTTGACCACGTTACTCTAAACCAGCTACTTGCTATATTATAACAGCTACAGCTACCTTGTAATTTAATAGTATGGGTTTAATTATTCCTATATAAGCGCTAGCTAAGACTATCCGTTAATAGAGAAATAGAAGGCTTTAGCAGCATTAAAGCAGGAATTCCACAAGGCAGCCCCGTCTTACTAATCCTATTTCTAATAAATATTAGACCTCTGTTTTAATCTATTACAAACTACTCCCTATCCTACCTAGATAACCTAGCAATTATAGCATCATCTACTGTGCTATACAATTTAATGCAGCAAAGACAGAGATTATTTACTTTACAACAAGCAATAAAGCTATTAGCTCTACACTTGCCCTACTAGACAGGTCTACTATAGAGCCTAAAAAGATTATAAAGTGGCTTGGAATCTACTTTAACAACGCACTCTCCTTCAAAGAACACGCAGCTACAAGGATTAGTTAAGCAAGAAACGCTTTCTACAGAATGTGCAGACTTGCAAACAGTAATAGAGGCCTCTCTCCTAGCGCTGGAAGACAGCTATATTTAGCATATATTTCTAGCATTGTAGATTATAGCTGCTAGGTCTTCTAGAAACAACAAGCAGGAATAGCAAAGCAACTCTAAGGACTACAGAATCTTGCCCTAAGAAAAATCCTAGGAACCTTTAGGACCTCTCCTATAGCACCACAGGAGACAGAAGCAGCACTTCCTCCCCCTGCTATAAGACTAAATACTGCTCTAAAAAAGTACGCCTTTAGAGCTAGGAAGCTACCTAAAGACTACTCTATTTATATTATAATTAAGACTCTAAAAGCTACTCTACAGTTCTAAAGAGAAGACTTAGAGTCTAGCATAGAATAAGAGGAAGAAGCTGCTCTCTTAAGGCTAAGAACAGGCCCACCTACTTAGCTTATGTAAATTATATAATTAATACAAAATGCTACTCCTAGCATAGAAGAAGAAAAACTGCAGGACTACTATTTCTACACCTAGAATAAGACTATATTATACACAGCAAAGATCTCTAAACTCTCTAAAGAAGAAGAAGTAGAGTAACACAAAATGTAAATGCTATAGGGACTAGGAGACAACCTACTTGCTATCTATACAGACGCCTCTTCTATTAAGAAAGGCACAGGAATAGGAATAGGAGTCACTACTCTAGACTATAATTAGCAGGCTAAAGAAATCTACTCTACTAAATACAATACTAGCAAAGGCTAGATTGTATATAATAGAGAGCTAGAAGGCATAACAAGAGCCTTTGAGTTTACAGCTTCTATAGCTACAGCAGGACAAGAGATCTAAGTCTTTGTAGATAACTAGGTAGCTATTTTAAGGCTAAAGACTCCTTCTAATAACCCTAGACAAGCTTAGCAAATCTGCTGCACAAAAGCAGCAAAGGCAATTCACAGCAAAGGCGTAATAACTAGCCTGCACTAGACCCTGGGATACCTAGATATTATAGGAAATAAAAAAGCAGACTCCTTAGCAAAACAAGCTACAAAACAGTAACTAGTATCTAATACTACAAGCCTTGCAATAACAGGTATTAGGGTAAAGCTATTACAAGACAAGAGTAGCAACACAAACTCTAGGCCTACTCTACAAAATTAAAGCTTAGGAATCCTAGCACCTACGTAGCAAGATTCTTGCTAAAACTATTAAGCAAGATAACATGGTTGGCAAGCGAGTCGGTCAGACAAGCAAGTTGGTCACCCTACCAACTTTTGCAACTTTAAAGTAATATATCTTAACAAGGCGATAATATTATTGCTAGATATTAATATAGTAGACTACTCTATATTAATAGTATCAGCGTTGCATGTGCGCGAGTTGTGCCCAGTCTCTTTACACCTAGTGCAGCGCCTTTGAGCGCGCTGGCTGAGGCCTGATCGCGCTCCTCCTTGACGCTCTTCATGAGCAATCTGCTGGTCAGCCTCATTTTGAGCCAGTATAT